TAAAGAAGACGAGCAGCTAGCAAAGTTTTGGGAAATCGAAGAAGTGGCTATCAATCAACATTTCAGACCAGAAGATCAAGCATGTGAGAAATTTTTTGCTGAAATTACGACAAGAAACATGGACGGATCATACACTGTCAAAATACCGTTCAAAGAATCAACACCAGAGTTAGGCCAATCAAAACCAAGAGCTGTGGCAAGGCTACAACAGCTCGAGAAAGAATTCGCCAAGGATAAAGACCTGCATCAACAATATGTATTCTTCATGGAAGAATATTTGAAACTTGGCCACATGCGAAAAGTACCGTACCACGGACTAAGTCAAGGCAAATATTATATACCGCATCAAACCGTAATTCGAGAAGAGAGCACGTCGTCCAGACTACGGGTAGTGTTGAGTGTATGACGCATCAAGCAAAACAAACACAAACGTGAGCTTGAATGATACGATGTTCGTCGGCCCTCGATTACAACAATACCCCGCGCAAATAATTCTAAGGTGGCGCAAGCATCGAATTGCATTTACTGCCGACGTTGAAAAAATGTATCGGCAAGCAAATTAAAATAAACAAAGATGACCTGCCGTACCAGAGAATAGTATGGCGCTTTAAGCCATCACAACCAATCCAAGAATATGAGCTAACCACTGTAACGTATGAAACCGCTTCGGCACCATTCCTAGCCATTAGGACTCTTCAGCAATTAGCCAAAGACGAAGAAGAAAACTACAAAAAAGCATCACAAGTCGCCTTGAGGGACTTTTATGTAGATGATGTACTATCGGGAGCAAATAATTTAGAGGAAGCACAAGAACTCCAAAAATCATTAGTTGGCCTGCTGCGAGCAGGTGGCTTCTCTCTAAGGAAGTGGTCTAGCAACTCAGCTGCACTCATGGGACAAGTTCCAGAAAACTTAAGGGGGAAATCAAACCTGCTATTGGGAAAAGAAACAAAAAAATCATTGGGAATCCTTTGGGCCCCATTAGAGGATGTGTTCATATTCAGAGCAAAAATCGACAATACGTCAGAAATAACTAAAAGGCACATTCTCTCCGAAATTGCAAAAATCTTTGATCCACTTGGATGGCTAGCCCCATTTATCATCAAAGTCAAAATGATGATACAAGATCTTTGGCTGCAACAGCGTGGGATGAAATAGTCAGCATTGAGACGTTGGAACGCTGGTCGCAATTCAAAGAAGACCTCAAAAACATTAATGAGATAAAAATCCCGAGGTGGTCATACTTCAATGGAGCACAAATGGAGCTTCTAGTATTCTGCGACGCCTCAGTGACAGCATATGGAGCCGTAATTTACAGCAGAACCATGATGTCGGGAAAACCGAACATAACGTTGCTACAGGCAAAATCTAAAGTAGCTCCTGCAAGGAACAAGACTACCCCGCCAAGATTGGAGCTCTGTGCTGCCGTCCTTCTAGCAAAATTGATGAACAAAACAAATGAAGCATGGGAAATAGAGAATGTAACGATTCATGCCTGGACAGACTCCGTGATAACCATCGGATGGATAAGAGGAGACCCACGTCGATGGAAAACATTTGTGGCTAACAGAGTTTGTGAAATACGCAGGTCAATACAGTCCGAATGCTGGAACCACGTGAAATCAGCCGACAATCCGGCAGATGTCATATCACGTGGAACCGAATTAAAAATCCTGAAAAATCTATCCATATGGTGGAATGATCCAGCTTGGATAAAGGATAAAAATCAGTGGCCAAAGACAGACATTGTACCAGAAATTCAACAAGAAGTAAAACAATGTCACCATGCCAATGTTAAAATACTTAAAGAAGAATGGACCCGATTTTCGAACCTGACACGAATGATAAGAATACTCTCCTTTTGCCAAAGGTTTATAAAAGGATCTCCAAAGGAAAACAATTTAGTGCCTGAAGAAATGTCCACGACCCTACAGACGATAATCAGATGTGTTCAGAAACAAGAACTATCTTCCGAATATCAAGCCCTAGCAGAAAAAAAGGGATCGAATAACAAAAGTAAGATACTAAATCTAAATCCGTTTCTGGATCAAAATGGCTAGATACGAGTTGGTGGAAGACTTGGGAATTCAACAGTACCGTTCAATCGAAAGCATACAATAATAATTCCGAGACACGCGCATTTGACAGAGCTACTGATAAAAAACGCACATGAAAGAACGTTACATGGAGGAAATCAGATAACAATAGCTTATTTGAGACGAAATTATGGATCATCAATGGAAAAAAGGCGACAAAATCAGTAATAAATCAGTGCGTTAGGTGCGTTCGTTACAAAAAAGAAACCGCACAGCAACAAATGGGAGAGCTTCCAACTCCAAGAGTGACATCTTCACCTCCGTTTAACCACACTGGAATCGACTACGCAGGCCCTATTCAGATTCGGGCAACTAAAGGCAGAGGACACAAATCGTACAAGGGCTACATAGCAGTCTTTGTATGCCTTGCCACAAAAGCAATACACCTTGAAGTGGTAAGCGATATGTCTTCGGAAACGTTCTTGGCAGCGTTTTGATCGAAGCCTGCCTAAATTCGAGACCCTTATGCCCACTTAGTGATGACGTCGATGATTCGATGGTACTCACTCCCGGACACTTTCTAATAAGGAGACCGATAGTATCACCACCAGACCCGATAAGCACGGAAATTAATCCTAGCCATTCCCATAGATGGAAATTGGTGCAAAAACTGAAGAGAGATTTTTGGAAGGCTTGGTCAACAGAGTACCTGAACAGACTACAGGTGAGGTACAAGTGGAACACGGTACAGGATAATTTGAAAGAAGGAACAATCGTTATCATAAAAGAAGACTTCATAAATCCAGCCCAATGGCCGCTAGGAGGAATAATAGAAGTTCATCCTGGCAAAGATGACCTTATCCGAGTTGTCACATTGAGAAAAGGCAACACAACACTAAAACGGGTCATAACCACCTTGATTCCATTACCAGAAGAAAAAAAAAACGAACCAACACAGGAAATACCAGAAGCCAATGAAAAAGCCGTAAGAGAAAATAACGGTAAAAATAGAAGCACGACCAAAGTTTGTCAATTCCTCCTACTAGCAATGTTCATTCTATGGACACCGACCAGTGAAGCAAACTACACGATTCATCATCCGCAAAAAGGCATATATGTGGAGCATATAGGAGTAGCAAGGATAAACAGAGGGATGTTCCGACTACAAATAAATATAGACAAGAAAAGAATCAACAAAGATGTAGAAAATGCTTCAAGAATCATCGAAGAATTCCAGGAGCTGTGCAAGAAGACAAGGGTCCTATCCCAGGAGACCCAGTGCGAACTATTGTCCAAGCACTTAATTGAAAGAGAAAAAGAGATTCTTCTTGTGAAAGAGAACATGCAGATAACAGAAACTCGCAGGAAAAGAGGATTATTTGGAGAACTACTCACCTCAGTCTTTGGAGTAAACGACGAGGTATACAAAGACATCAGCAGCATTTTAATAAGTACTATAATGATGAAATTTCAAATTTTTTTATGTTGAAATTTTGTGTTTTAAGGATTGGGACTCCTCAAAATCCAGAAACTAGGTAAATTATTCCGAGATTTGAAGCCGAAATCTTTGAAAAAAGGACGTCAAATGTATGTTGAGTTTTTGTCTTTAAAGCTACAGTAAAGTTAAATTTGTTTGATTGTTTGTCCTATAAGAATAATTCAAATAAGCCCTATTATCTTGCACTCGTTATTACAAATGAGAATATTTTATTCTTCCTATTCGCTTAGAATTTCCGCAGTCATCTTGTTGAAAAGTTCAAAAGAAAATTCAATTTAAAATCATATATTTTTTCAAACTATCGACACAATGGAGCGCTCCTCAGTCCCCAATTAAATTTAATGGAATTTTTAATACCTACGGAACGTTTACAATAATTGAACTTGAGAAAGAGAGATAATAAATCCCACGCGACTTTAGAAATTTCAATGATAAAAGTCATAGATTGTACTTAGAGTGATTCATTTAGAAAAATACTCGGGGATCATAAATCGACGGATTGTTTTTACCCTCGAGAGGAATCTTTTAGAAAAGTAATTGGATTAGTGCGCCGGTCTGGAAACCTGATAATCCTCTCTTTTGCGGAATCATTTTCAATTTACTCTTGTAGCATTAAGTTACAACATAAAATGTAATCAGCAATTTTTTCATTGACACTCTAACCTTTTGGAATTGGAAGACTAAAATAAATTTTTCTTTCTCAGCCACAATCCATCAAATAGTTATTAAGTGAATCAATTGTAAGCACCGCCACGTGCACAAGAAATGTTCTTTTTACAACCAAACGGCTTCCTTTGTAGTTTTTTTTCAAACGAAAACTCCGATATGAAATCTTTAATAATAATTTTCCGTCTTATGACCCTTTTTATTTATGTTACCTAGTTCCGCACTTGGGCTCTAAAGTACGTTTCTCTGCTGCCTTTATGACTTATTTTCTATTACGTCTCTGCTGCAGGCGGAGGTAATTGAAAAACTTCTTACTCGATATAATGTGTTTGTTAGATTTAAAATTTAGTTTTGCCTTACCTTTATTTCCAAGCGAAAATGGAATGTTTTGGAGTCAAAGCAAATATGCAAATTTAAAATTAAATTGTAATTATTTGGAGCAAATTAGAATCTTGAAGCAGCTTTTTAAAATACGATTAACTTGGGACGGCCTTTTGCCAGGTGAAAAGGTAATTTAAATATTTTCCTAATTTATTGTAATATGACTGACTTTTGATTAAACTCTTGTAGCAACGTTTGCACAAATAACATTTAGGATGTGGGTTTGTAGTCCGTAGTATAGAGGATTAAAATCCCAAAATGATTAGTTTTATTTAAGAATTTTTTTTATTTCATTCACAAATGTGCCTTTTGTTTTACTTTCCTAATATTATGTAATTTATGATTCCAATCAGAAAAAGCATCGTTCATTATGCATTCGGTTGCGTAGATCTAAAAACCCACGTCATATACTTTTCCAGGCAGTCATCCAGATAGACGAGACCATTACAGGGGACACAAAATGTCACTCTGGCTGAATCTAATACCGCAACTTCACAGACCCGGCGAAGGGGATGACGTCTCGATGCGCCATCATCATTTCCAGGAGGAGGACGATCAGTATTATGACGGTAAGAATTTTTTTCTGTCGCGAGGTTTGTAATTTCTTTTCCATGACGGTGAAATATCTTTTTTTTTGTTTCGCGTTACTAAAGATGCGATTTTTTTGGCCTATGAGGAATGATTAAGCGTTCTTTGTATGACAAAATAATGGGGGCAATAATACTTTCTGTCTGGACCACGCAAAAAATATTGTATGTGACTTTGATCGATTATATTTTTTGGACAATAAAATGTGTATCATTTCTGAAGGAATTATGTGTTTGAAGGTGCCGCGTTATCCTATATGAAAAACTTTAATAGCTTTCAAAACTGTATGATAAAGATGTGACGCTAAGCACGTTTCTAGACATAAAGGAAGCGTTACCAATATGTAACTGGATAGAAGCCAGCCTAAGAAACAGGGTAATCACATCCAATCTGGGTGAGCACACGGTAGAAGCAAAAGTGAATAAAAAGCTGCTCACAAGAAGGTGTTTTATCGCCATTATACACATCGGAGAAGTTAGCAAGACATTGAAAGCAGGATCCTTAAGATGCACCTCTGCTTATGCTGCTATATTACTGCTTTGTCCTGCTATATTGATTTCCATTTTGGTTGCTTACTTCACCCTTGGCAACGCATTGGAAGCTATGGTTCTGCCTCATCCTGCTTTAAATCACACCGGCTACACTTACTATTTTCGAGACATAGAGATTTCTATTATTGTTCTTCATCCTTGGCTTGGCAACAAACTGGAAGCAGGCTCGCTCCAAAATGTTCCTGCTTGCGTTGCTATCGTCCTGCCTCAAACTGGTTCAATCACCCCAGCAACACCTAATATTTTTGAGATACACACTGGTGGCATTACAAGAGTCTAGTGGTAGGAATACGGCGAGCTCGAGACACTGTTGCCAGATGTATCGTAATGAGTGCTTGTCTCTGTATGTTAGTATATTCGACGAAAAGATCTAATCCAAACAAACCCGTACTTTTGTAATGAATGCTAGTCTTTGTATGTTGGTATTTTAGACGAGAAGAGCTAATCCAAGCTAACACGTCCCTATACTAAGTGCTAGTTTTTGTATGCAGATATTTTAGACGAAAAAAGCTATTTCAAAGTAGCCCGTCCTCATACTAGGTGCTAGTCTTTGTATGTTGGTACTTTAGACGAAGAGAGCTAATCCAAACTAACCCGTCCTTTTGTAATGAATGCTAGTATTTGCATGTTGATATTTAGGCCAAGTCATTTTACCTCTAGTTCAACAGATGATCGTACAAATTCAGGAAGACCTAATTCGGGATATGAGAATATTCCCCACTATCATCAACCCTCCAGCGCTGCAGCTTCAGTTTCCAATGATGGAGTGATTAACTTGGATCCAGCATAGTTTCCGAGACATTCTGTTGTTGATAATAATTTTCTCTTCCTCACAAGAATGTGCAGGAAAACGCTCGCATATTACCACTCCATTCCGACCCGTTTTCGAAGAATATCTCCCTATTAGATGCTCCCATTTCAAATGTTCAGTGGAAATCTCAACAATTTCTCAATAGAGTCGTATCGGATGAACAACCCCGCTATTTCCAGTCATCGGCTCTGGCCCAATCAAATAATGATCCTTTTTCTGCGGGATTGGTGGGTGATCGTAGTTCCGTAAGCGAGCCCAGTACGTTTAATGGTAATGCCGAACGATTGAGCAACAGAAATCATCGAACAGGTCGCATTTCGCAGGTTCGTTTTTCTGATCTAGATTATGATGGAAATCCCCCTAATAGAATTCGTCAGAAACTATTCCTTTGGCAGATCTTGTTGAACGTTTTAATGATCTGAATTATTCGCCACTTCATAATCGCTCCTTTCAACCTCGCGATAGTCATCTCCCGGTCTAAGGATGTCAGTCGTTGGAACATTAAATATGACGGACATCAAAGTTTGTCAGATTTCTTGGAAAGAATTGAAGAATTAAGGTTGTCTAGAAGGGTCACAAAGGATCATCTTTTACGTTCCGCTTCTGAGTTATTCATTAAGGATGCCTTTTTGTGGTACCGTACTAGTAAATTTCAAAGCTGGGACGACTTAGTAACCCAACTGCGAGAAACTTTCATGCCCTATGATTATAAATTTTTTTTGTGGGACGAAATTCGAAAACGTACTCAGGGTGCTCAGGAACGAGTTATAAGTTTTGTAATCGCTATGGAAAAACTTTTTCGGAAATTACCACAGGAACCCTCTGAAGAAGCTAAACTTCAGCTTATTCGTAGGAATCTTTTGCCATACTCACAAATTCAACTAGCTACTCAACAGGTTTGTTCTGTCAAAGTTCGTATCCAATTTAACCGAGCTATTGAAGAAACACAGGCACGCGTACAGCGTTTCGTACCTCCTCCTGCTAACTATCGTTATTTATTGGAGCCAGAGTTGGCTTATTACAGGCCCACTTATCAGGTCCACACAGCCCTTGTTGAAGCCGACTCTCTAATTTCTAAACCCCAACAGACGTTGGTTAATTCTGCAAATATTGACGCCGTCTCCGCAATGTCCGAGTCTTTCTGCTGGAACTTCCAAAAATCTGGTCATAAGTTCAGGTAATGTGGTGAACCAAGGTAAAAGTTTTGTTATCGTTACGGTAAGCCAGATTGTACCACCTCCTCCTATCCAGATTGCTTAAAAAACCGGGTAACGGCAAGGTCTTAGGCCAGAAATCTTGCCTAACATTGAATTCAATGGCCAATTTTTCTCGATTATGTCCTAGTCCATGCAAAAAACGATGAACGTCTCATCTCTACCTCCAAGTTGAAATATATGGAAAGTCTTTCCTTGGACTGCTTGATAGTAGTGCTTCCAGAACTATCCTTGGAGCAGAGGGTTGGAAAACTTTGAGTTCTTTTTGTCAGTTAGAGCCAACTACCTCCTATTGCGCTGTGGCAAATGGCTAGAAGTGTCGTCATTGGCTGCGTCTTATTGCCTCTCCGTCTTCGAGAATGTACGGTTCTTATTGACGTATTGATAGTCCCATTTGTTCCTCATCCACTTATTCTTGGAATTGATTTCTCGACCAGAATAGGAATCATTCCCGACCTTTACGCCGGTGAGTGGAGCTTTTGTTCTAATAATAGCATGAACAATCGCGATGCGGAGGTTGCTTCTATCCAAAGCAGAGGAAATTTAACCTTTGAATAGGAACGTAGCTTACATGCCGTAATTGACGAGACTTTCACGAAAATGAGTGAGAAACTGGGATGTACTACGCTTGTGGAGTTGGTCATAAAGAGTGATTTACCCCCGATAAAACAGCGTTACCATTCACGGTCCCTAGGGTTGTAGAGGAAAGTGAATGCTGAGTTGGATAAAATGATTACCGATGGTATTGTAGAGCTGTCTGAGTCTCCCTGGGCTTCCCCAATTGTCATGATTAAAAAGAAATCTGGTGGTTGGAGATTTTGCGTGGATTTCAAGGCTCTTAATCGAGTTACAGTTTCGGATTCCTATCCTCTTCCATGAGTTTCTAATACTTTGGACAAGTTTCGTGATGCACGATATCTCAGTACGCTAAATATTAAGTCAGCATACTGGCAAATTCCTATCGCAGATTCATCAAAACCCCCTTACCGCCTTCACCGTCCCGTCTCGTGGACTCTTCCAATTTAAGCGAATGCCGTTTGGTCTCACCAATGCCCCTGCTGTCTGACAAAGGCTTATCGACCGTGTTATTGGTGTCGAGTTTGATAATTACGTTTTTGTTTACTTGGATGATGTGATTATGTACACGCCTACTTTCGAGGATCACCTTAGAATTCTGCGTGAGGTAATCAATCGTCTCGATCTTGTGAATGCACCTGTGCTTTCCTGTCCTAATTTTGACAAGCCGTTTACGATACAATGCGACGCATCTGATTTCGGACTTGGAGCTGTTTCAACTCAGATGCAAGATGACGAGGAACACGCCATATGTTATCTCAGTCGATCTCTAAATCAGAATGAACGGAAGTAAACGACCACCGAAAAGGAGTGTTTAACAGTGCTATTTGCGATTGAGAAATTACAGCCTTACATTGAGGAAACCAAATTCACTATAATCACTGACCACTATAGCTTGAAGTAGCTTAATTCAATTAAAGACCCGGTTGGACGTATTGCTCGTTGGGCTGTAAGAGTCCAGCAATACGATTTTGAGGCGGTTCATCGGGAAAGAAAATAAAACATTGTTCCTGATACTTTGTCCAGACCGGTTCCAGTAATAGAGGCTATAACGAATACCCAAAGTGTTTCTGATGATTCCGAAGTATCTCCAGACACTTCGGATAAGTGGTTTAAGAGGATGTACAGTAATGTCACTAAATATCCTTCTAGATACCCTCTTTGGTGGATTAATAAAAACAAGCTCTTCAAGCGAGCTAAGATAAAGTACCCATCCTTGTCCAGTCCAAGTGATTTTTGGTTACAGGCTGTTCTGAGAGATCAGCGTTCAAATATTGTCAAATCTTATCACGATCCTCCAACTTGTGGACATTTTGGTGTCTTCAAAACTTTAGGCCGAATTGTTCAGAAATATTACTGGCCTCAAATGAGGAATGATATACAGAAATTCGGCGCTGTCGAAATTCGACAGTCGAATTTGTCTGGAAACTAAACCCGAGCAGAAAGCTCCATTTGGACAAATGCGTAGCTTACAACCTATAGCTTCCAAACCATGGGAAATCATTAGCATTGATGTTGTTGGCCCCCTTCCACGTTCTAGTTCAGGTTTTCCTTATGTTTTACGGTGTCGGATGTGTTTAGCAAATTTTGTTTATTCTTTCCTCTTCGCGCAGCAAGATCAAGTGGTATCTTGAAGTGGTTAGAGGATCATGTTCTTTTGGTCTATGGTATACCTATGAAAATTATTTTAGATGACGAGTCCTAATTTCGTAGTAAGGTTTTTCAGGATGTTATTAAGGGTTATGGCATAGAGATCCGGTACAGAGCTTACTATCATCCCCAGGCTAACCCTGCGGAGAGAGTTCATAAAGTACTTAAAACTATCCTTT